AATAAAAAAAAAAAAAAAAAGCAACAGTGATGTCAGTGGTAAGGGCCTCCGGAAATTTTCTCCTCTGTGAGGGCAGCGAGAAAACTGCTCTGGACTGGACCAGACAGGTACCTGGTGCGCCCAGCCTTCCGGTTCCACTGTTCCCTCCTCCTGTGCCTGGGGTATGCGGAGCTTGAGTGCTATGGGCAGCCCCAGCTCAGGATCAGCTGACACGGTGGCCTTCCCTCCTCCTCCGGTGCAGGCCCCCACGGATGGGCTTCCTGTGGCCCTGTCTGTATCCCCAAGGCTGAAGGGGCTGGCTGTGAACCCTCCCCGGCCTCCCACTGCTGCCCTGGCTGGATGGCATGTCTCTACCTAAAAACCCTCTATATTAAACTAGTCCATTGCTTCCTGTTGCCAGGGTAACACCACAAGTTAAAGTGGCTGTCAGCTTTTTGTCGCTGTGACAAAAACCTAAGAAAATCAACTGAAAGATTTCAGTCCATGGTCACTTGGCTGCACTGTTCTGGCCTAGGCCTAGGCTGAACAGCCAGGCAGGGAGCACAAGGGGCCAGGTCCCAGGTCCTCCTCCTTCCAGGCCACACCCTTGACCTACTTCTTGCCTGGCCCCTAAATTCCTGGAACCTCCACCAGCAGCTGTCTGAGGACCAAGCTCCATCTGGGGATGGTCACACCCCTCACACCCTGCTGGACTGGCACACTGAGCAGTGCTTCTGCTTCCTGAAGCTTCTAATATTCTTTGTTTTACCGGTGGGTCTGTATTATTTAAGGTAGATCTCTGCTGCTATGAAAACTCAGTTTAAAGCTTTTTAACAAAGGAAAAATTAACATTCCCCAGATAAGCAAAAATGAAGAGCATTCCTCAGAACAGGACCTGCCCTCCAGGGAACACTTAACACTTTCAGGAATAGGGACTCTAGGTGCTAGCTCGAAAGAGCACCACATAAAGATGGGCAAACAGAAGAGGCAGGAGAAATGTGTTTTTGTACTTCTTTTTCTTCCTTATCATTTAAAAGACAAATACACTTAAGTATAGGTCACTGAAGATTGTTATGTCATGCACAGACAAAACCTGCATGAATGTAACAGCAGAATGGAGCTACATCAACGAGGTTTTTGATTACTACTGAAATTACAGCCGGGTGTGATGGCGCATGCCTATAATCCCAGCACTCAGGAGGCTGAGACAGGATGGTAGCCGTGGAGGCCAGCCTGGACCACACAGTGAGTTCAAGTCCATCCTGAACTAAATAAAAAGACCCTGTCTGAAAAAAACAAAAGAGCTGGGCGTGATGGCACACACCTTTATCCCAGCACTTGGGAGGCTGAGGCAGGATTGTTGCAAGTCTGAAGTCAGCCTGAGCTATGCAGTGAGTTCAAGCCCAGACTGGACTACACAGCAAGACCTTGTTAAAAACAAACAAACAAACCCCTCAAAAACCATAACAACAACAACAAAAAAAAAACGCAAAACAAAAAAATACAAGAAAGTGACAAAAGACAACAGAACATATTTGTAAACCATGTATCTGATACGGTCAATATTTTAAAAGACCCTAACAAAGCAACAATTAAAAACAGGAAGAGGATTTGAATAGAAAGTGAAGGACCAGGGATTTGGTCAGTTGTTCTGCTGCCTGCCTTTTGAGCACAAGGGCACGAGTTGGATCCCTGGTACCACAAAAAAGAAAGCGAAGTCTTTTTATCTGCTGACTGGGACCCTTGGGAGAAGGGGAAGGGAGTGGCCTGCAGGGGACGCTGTTGCTCACCCTGGCTCTGGACCAACATGTCCTCCTAGGGCAACTGCTCCCTGCTCACACCTGCTCATTGGGCAGAACCAGGACACTGCCAACTACCCCACAGGGCACAGGGCAGCCCACCAAGAGGAAGAGCCCGTAGCCCAGAATGCCAGTGCCAGGGGCTGAGGAGCTGTCTAAAAGTCTATGTCTGGTAAAATACAGACACAAAGAAGCCTCTAAGTTATCTGAAAAAGAATGGAAAACCGTAACACATACTGCAAAGAGAACAAAAAAAACCACAAAAACCTAGTATTTGCACAGTCCAGGGCACTGTGCACTGGCAGCCTCAATGAACAGCAGGGCTAAGGCTGGCCAGGGACACTCTAGAAATGGGATGCCAGGTTTTTTGGTACTGGGGGCAAGGGCAGGATTGTTTAAAAGAAGTAAATCACCACTCAGAACTGAGCTGCCACAGCACTTCTATAAACACAATAGAAGCTTTACTTTTTTATTTATTTTACCTAAGTGGGCTTGATGAGCCAGGGCACTTAGGCTCACTTTGGATTCAAACAACAGGTACTTTTCAGGTGCGACACCTCAGTGGCCATTTCAGGCTAGCACTCTGCCACTGAGTCACCCCAGCCCTCAATGGCCATTCAGAAGCAATTAACCTTAGAGCACTAAAAGCTTGGATTTTTGAAATTAAGTATAAGTAAGAAAAGTTCATTTAAACCAAAGAATAATTGGCTATCTTCTGAGTAGGAACTAGTACTAAACACCAGCACTGCACAGTTCTTACAGAGTAAATCTCCAGGGCTGGGGATTTAGCTCAGTGGTTCTGCCACCTGCCTCAAAAATTCAAGGTCCTAAGTTTGAGCCCCGGTACCAAAAACAAACAAACAAAAAACCCCGAGAAAAACAGAATATACCTCTGAACTTGGCAGCTAAGTAACTTGTAGGTACTGGTATAAGCCGGACATGGCGGTGCATGCCTATAATCCCAGCACCTTGGAGGCTGAGGCAGGAAGATCACAAATTTGAGGCCAGCCTAAACTACACAGTGAGAGAGACCAACTAAAAAAAAAAAAAAAAAAAAAAAAAAAAAAAAAGAAAAAAAAAAAAAGAAACTAGAACACAGGCTCTGTGGCTGAATTATTTCAACTGAGACTTCCCTCACTTAGAAGGTACTAGATGGGCATGGTGTGCTCACCTGCAGTCTCAGCACTGGGGAGGTTGAGGCAGGAGGAGCGCTGTGAACGTACCCTTCCCCACACACTATAAAGGTTCTCCAGCATACCTGCCTGCAGGAAGCATTAGAGACTCTTTGAAGAACAGCCTGAGATTTCATTGAAGTACAGAAGAACTAGGAATTGGGTTTGAGCAGCTCACATTATAGTGGAGGGAGGGAAATATTATAGAGGCTACTGTGAACCTTAAGTGTGGTTTCATCATTTACTGAGACACCAAATATAAAAACACAGAAAAGAAACATAAGCTCTGGAAAAGGTGGATGTTTAATAACTGTTATCACCAGGTTGTCATGCAGTTACAAAGTGGTTAGAAATTTCTGAAAGGGCATTGTTAAAAAACAAAACAAAACAAAAACAAAGGCGCTCATCTTTACATAAATAATATGTAGTACTCCATTGGGAAACTACAGTTCAAAGGGCCCTGGCCAGGTAATTCTGCAAACAAAACAATCCTCTGGGTGCATCAGCCTGCTATGAAAGGGGCAGGTAAGAATGCAAAGTCAGATGGGGCTGGGGCCCACCGGTGTTCACACGGAGCCCAAATGGTCTCTTCTGGAATACTCTACTTGAATTATGGTTCAAATAGTCAACACAATTGGTCTTCAAAGGGGAGGAACAATTAATTACCATGATAAGGAGGTTACTGCATTCTTTGGACTATGTGTCATACTTGTAGTTAGCAAATTCTGACAGTTAAGGAAAACAGCCTCCATGGCTGTAGGTATGCACACAGCTCTCCATCGGGCTCTGTAGTTCCTGCTGGACATTACATGACCGGTAAGCTATAAATGATACTGCTTTATAAAAATACTAGCTTTCTTCATTTATTATGTTACTATGTTTACTAAGGTTAGGCTTGTTAAGTGATTAAAGGCAATTTTATTACAGCAGCATGTACTTATTTTATTCTAAAAGAATAAAATGCGCAAGAGGAGCAGCTTTATTCTTTGCAACTTGTAAAACTGAGTTAATTTGTTGACGTAAATACCAGTAACTCACTCGAGGACCATGCCACCTTCCTAATATGCCACACACTACATCTTACGTGTGTCAGAGCTATAGCTCCTGTGGACTTGCCTGGAGCTGAACTGCAGCACTGAGCAACTGCTCCGTCCGCCTTCCTGGTCAGCACTGGCTGGACTGGGAGCCCCAGAGTGAGGTGACACAGCCAGGGAGGAGGGGCTTTGAAGTTCTAGGCAAAACGCCTGTGTGGCTCCCTGGCACAGATTTGCATGATCCCTAGCCTTATCTTCCTGCCTCCTAAGGGGCTGATTTGGCCTTCCTGGTTGAGAATGTGTCCATTATCTACTGAGTCATGGGAAAGATTGCCGCGGTTATGTGTAAACTGTGAGGGGGCTGCAGAAGGTACAGGTGGAGGGGTATTGAGGCAGCTGGCTGCCAGCATCTATGTGAAGGTCACACCAGCTTCATTGTACACTTTGAAGACTTTCTCAATGGCGTTGACGTAGGCAGCTGTCCTCAGGTCCAAGCCCAGGTTATACTTCATGGCTGTGCGCATGATTTGCTAAAATGAAGGAGACAGGCAGTTAAGACCCAACTCAAGCAGCCATGGTACACCCTGGTCTCCTTCAGGGCAGGGCATAGGCGGCCACAGAAAAACCACTCAGGCAGCAAGGACCAAGCTCCCTTCTGCCCATTAGATCCTGCTATCTGTAACAGGTTCCTACCATACAATTTGGAATGGTTTAAAAATAAAAGATTCAAGTTTAAATGCTCTAGAATTTCATGATGCCCATAGCTACACAGCCTTGTGCATATAGTAAAACTGCTAACTTACATACTTTAGAGGATGACTGTATGGTATTTTAACTCAAAAGTACCAATCCTCAGGAGCACCACTTTTCACCAGTATGTGTTGATGCTGCTTCTACTTGGAAACCCCGTGGGAAGAATCTGAGCCCCAGAAGAAATTAGAAGTGTGAGACAAAGGTCAGGTGCTCAAGGACTCCCCTTACAGACACCACAGCGTGGGCTGCCTGTGGCTATGCTGCAGGCAGGTGAGGAGCAGGTCCAGCTCTCCTCCACACGCAGCATCACACCTAGGCCTGAGCCTGGAGTGCGTGCGGGAGACCAACAACACCACTCATCACCCAAGGCTCGCGAGTGTGTCTCACTGCACATAAGTGGAGCCGGGTGGATAGGTACTGTTTTCTACACTCCACCACAATCTGCCCATAAGGACAGGGGCGTGGAGTGGTGCTTCCCATCACCAGTAGGAAGGCAGATGGCGCCAGCGACATACCCGGGCAGAACGCTCCATTGTGTAGGCTAAGCCGGAGTGGACGATGTCTTTCTCTGATGCCCCCTGTTGGGAAAAAGGGCATAAGTTTATCAGAACACAGAAACATGCCCTTAAGTCAAGGTAGAGCCAAACAGGTCAGGTTTCAGTAAAGGCATATGTAAGTGCTGAACAGCATCCAATTCATGTACAGTACAACAGGATATGCATTTTACAAAATCTATTTCTATAATATTTGTGTTACTGGGTTAAAAATTTTTATCAAGTTAGGAGAAAACAAACTTGCTCTGCAGGCAGAATGCTGGTGCTTTATTCATTCATTTACTTGCTATTACTGATACCTCCAGACACCTTTTCAGGTACTGAGGACCAGCAGAGAAGAAAGCAACGCAAACTCTGCTCTGAGTCTCTATTCTGGCCAGGGGAAGATGCACATGCATGGGCTTAAACCATACGCAGACACTGCCACTGTGAATCTGGGCTTCGAGGGCGAAGGATCAGTATAAAGAGGATGAGATGATGGAGAGGCCAGCACGGCAGGGAGAAAGCCAGGAGAATGTAGGGTCCAGGAAATGATAAGGATGTGTCCCCAAGGATGTGAGGTGAACAGATGGTAAGTCAAGGTGAGGACCAGGCCCTGTCAATGTCACTCGTGCCCTTGACAAGAAGAGATAACGTTTTATGTGTTTCTGACAGGTCTGCTGATTGAATTGAGGGCCTCATGCATAGGCAAATATCATACCACTGACAGCATCCCCAGCTCTTCAAAAATTTTGAGACATGGTCTTGCCAAGGTGCCTCAGCTGGCCTCAATTTTGCAAGTAGCTGGGAGTAGTGTGCCACCCCACCCAGTGTATACAACTCCTTCTGGTAGGGCAGTGAAAAGCAAGTAAGAACAGCAGTAACTGGAAGGAGAATGGCCTGAAGATATGCTTTTAAATTGAGCATGGAGTACATGGAGAGGAATGACTCAGTAGAGGGAGATGCTGAGAGGGAGCAGCACTTGCTGGTGCAGTATTCCCAAGGAGCTGGGGATGAGCCATGTGGTATCTGGCACAAGCACCGCAAGAGTTGGAAGCTAAGGGGCGCTCTACTGTGTGGAGAGGTGGCTAGGGGAGGGAGGCCAGCAGAGGATGGGTGTGCAGATGCTCGAGTGCTGCCCCTCGAGTTAAAATTAAAAGCCAAGTGAAACCATCTGAAACCAACTGAAACTTAAAAAGGATGAAGAGGGCTGGGGATTTGGCTCAATGGTTCCGCCGCCTGCCTTGCAAGCACAAAGGCCCGAGTTCAATCCCCCATACAAAAAAAAAAAAAAAAAATAAAAAAAAAAAAAAAAAAAAAAAAAAAAAGGATGACGAGCTGGCTGTGGTGATACATGCCTGTAAGCCAGTAGTGGGGAAGCTGAGACAGGAAGATCAGCAGAATTTTGAAGCCAGTTGGGGCTACACAGTGAGTTCAGGCCAGCCTAAATTATATAGTGAGACCTGTTTCAAAAAACCATACAAAACACTTGAAGGGTCACTGGTAGCTCTGCCTCCTAATGAGCTGGTGGCCCTTTCTGTGTTCCCTCTCTTTTGAGATGCAGTCTGAGTGACAGCATGTGCCAGGCATCTGTTGAGTATGTGTGCTGAGTCACTTGTGATGCAAGTGTGCCCAAAACCTTGACTGCGGAGGGAACTGCCACAAAAAGCCATGATGGTGATGTGTGTGAAGGTGCCAAGATACCCCACACAGGGATCAGAATGAAGATGGTGCCATCAAGGGCAATGGAAGGGCACCTTGGGAACAATACCGCAGTGTAAAGCAGCTTTTTACCAAAGCTGCCTGGCAAGGAGATACTGTAACAGCCATTTCCCTGACATCCTACAGTTAAAATTAGACCGAATCTAAAAACTGGCTGTGAATAGCTGCAAGACATCAGCATGGAGTCATTCTTCTCCTGAATTATTTTCTCAGGGTAAACCCCCAGGGGGAGGTTAGGGTAGACCAAAGGCAGAGACACTGACAGCCCTTCCACAGAGCTGTACCAGTCTGTGCTGTTCTCAGAAGAAAGGCTCGCTTATTGGCTGGGGCTGGGGCCCAGCTCAGTGACAGAGCACTTGCCAAAGCATATGAGGTGCGAGGCACTGGGCAGATCCCCTGAACTGCAGGGGAACAAATCCAAGGCTGGCACACACACATGACTTTTCTTACTCACATCTTCTGTCACACACCGGTAAACAAGTTCTCTTTGCAAAGCATATACACTATTAATACATCCTGGCAACAACTGATTAATATAAAACACTTTTTTTTTTGGTACCAGGGATCGAACTCAGGCCCTTGTGCTTGCAAGGCAGACAATGCTAAACACTCTTTTTAATCTGTTTTAACTCTCTTGTGTCCATGTAGCAATTTCATATTTTCATGTAGTTCAGTCTAATATTCACTCTTCAGTTATACTTCTCTGAAGTTTAAGAATATAAAGTAAAGTTGGAGATTTAGCTCAGTTGCACTGCACCTGCCTCCCAAATGCAAGGTCCTGAGTTCAATCCCCAGTATAAAAAAAGTGAGGCAAGTATATATATAATATAAAACATATATATTAGATATATATGATATTATATAAAACATTATATATATATATATAGGGTGTGGCAGCACACACCTGTGATCCCAGCCATCAGGAGGCAGGAGGAACTCTGCTGAATTTGAGGCCAGCCTGGCTTGGAATATGTAGTGAGAACTTGTCTCAAAAAAAACCAAAACAAAACAAAAAACCAAAACCAAGAAGAGTCTAATGCTTCTATGAATTCTTCATGCTTATGCTGAGTCACTTTTAAGTCACTTGTATTGCAAACAGTAGGAAAGGCAGAACTACTTATTTCAAATTTGTTATTAATGGTCACTAGGGATGCTTATACCACCCTTGGAACGAAATGAAAAGAGAAGGCACAAAGCATATAAGTTACACACGGCTGAAACCCTGGTCACCACCCCTCAACTCCTGTTAGCCAATGTGGCCTGTATGGAGAACAGGAAAGGGCAGGCAACCTGTGTGAAACACCATTCTGGTGCTACATACATACCGATATCCTGTCCTGAAACTCTGCTGTTGGGACGATAGGAATTGTCCCGCCATGCTTCCCAAATTTTCTTTCTAAGCTTTCTTGAACAGACACTATAAAAAGCCAAGAAGTCAAGTCAAGATAGTACAATGCTAGTAGGGGAGAAAAAAATGAAAGAAAAAAACTCTTCAAAATAAAAACCAAATGTGTAGAACTAAAGGAGCCCCAAAACTAAGTTTTGGATCTCTTCAAAACTAATGTCATAAAAGAGTTAACCATAAAAAACCCAGTTAAGAAAGAATGGAAGACTCTGCCAGTTCCTATGCAAATGTGAATGCAGGTGTTCTAGTTCCACTGCCAGGGTTACTGCTTGGCTCTATTAAAAGAAAACGCCATGGAAAAGAGGAAACAGGAATGGCTATAGCCAGGAAGCCAGGCTCTCAGCACTGCTAAGTGCAGGCGATCAGTTGGAGGTCCTGGATCCATTCCACCCAGTGAGAAATTCTGTCCTCTGTGGGGCTTACTCCAAAACAAGCATTTTCATCAAGGGGCTCAGGTTCTACTAAGAGCAGCCAGAGACAGAATGGATGGGCATTCATGTTCTGTAACTTTATTAATTTGGAGACTATGTTCTAGGAATGTGACATGATCGAATACAATTTTGAATATAGATATATTTGAAGGAGTTAATGAACTCAATACCTTTAAAGCAAGTGTCTAATTTTTCTCCAAGTCTCATTAAGATAGAACAATTGAGCCAGGGATTTAGCTCAGCAGTACGGTGGCCTGCCTTGCAAGCGCAAGGACCCGAGTTCAATCCCCGGTACAAAAAAAAAAAGATAGAACAATTGCTTTCTGCTCTAAAGTGAATGTCTCTAGGACTACCAGAGGGAAAGTGCCCCTTCAAGGTGTGCTTTTAGTTGATCGCAAAGATGATTTCTGGAGAACAAGATTATTTGGACTCACTCAGCAAGTGGTAGTTAGAATCCCTTTCGTATTTGAAGGTCAATCGGCCATAGCTGACATGATTTAGATTCTTCAGCCACTCAAAGTAAGACACGGTCACTCCTCCAGCATTCAAGTAGAGATCCTATACACAAAATGTGACAGAAGACAGGAAAATGAAAAGGCAAAGACTTTAGTTAAGCTTAAAACGAACATAAGAACATAGAAAGAAAGAAACAAACAAAACATAAGAACTGTTTCTACATGGTGACTAAGCCTCAAACTCCCCGAATATCTTATAGGATATGAGGAATTTCAGTTTATCTAACAAATTCTTCTTCTCAATTCGAGGTTATTTTCTATTTAGCAAAAAGAAAAGCCATTGTTTTGGCTCTCTATTACTTGGTCAGCTTTAGTCTCTCCTCATTAACTTCTCAGCAAATGGGGCTTTTAAAAAAAAGGCAGCCCAAGTCCACATGCCTTCCCATAATCTTTTGTTATGGAACCTGTGTCCCTCCTAGCGACTTTTGGGTAAAGCATGTGAAGGAACATCTGAAAAGCATAAGGTGAATAATCATGTAGAAGAGCACTACTCTCATTTTACATAGCTGATCTCTTAGGAGGATGATCACACACTGAGAAAGAGCAGAAGCTGGAGTGCCACAGCGGAGGTGGAAAGCAGTGGTGGGTTATACTAGCCATGCTTCCAATCTTTTCTTATAGGCAAAAATTAAAACGAACAATTCATCCCCCATGGAAAAGGTGTCAACCCTCTCTTTTCCCTGTTCCTAGTAGAAGGCAATTACGATTCTCAATACATATCAAGCCTAATGCACATAGACTTACTGGAATAACCATGATGTTCCTTTCCAGGAAAATCTTATCAGCTTCCGGAGTGGTGGGTCCATTGGCACCTTCAGCGATGATCTGTAAGTCAGGGACACATTCAGAATGTCAGGAGCACCTATACAGAGCATAAGCTAGGGTCTGTGAAAGTGCAATTCTGGGGAATATTAAACTAAAAGGGTTATTTTGCTCTACAAGGTGTATAAAGCTACCCTTTACCTGTTTCCATAAATACATTTTGGAAGTTTGGTAATAGTTGCACAACTCTGAATATACTAAAAAGCCATTAAGTCATGTACTTTAAATGCATGGAAGTTATAGAACATGAACTGTATGTCATTTAAGCTATTAAGAGAAACCACTCAGACTGTTTGTTGGGACTGTCTGGATATAATGCCAGGGCGGTGTTCTTGGTTTCAGTTCCTCCAACACCTTTACCTTGGCTTTGACTCTGGGTGCATTGGTTTTGGTCAACTGCTTCTCACTGGCAGCAGGGATCAGGATGTCACAGTCAGCCTCCAAGATGCTTCCTTCGTATACCCTTGCCTTAGGGAAGCCCAGAATCGATCCATGCTGCTGTAATTGATTTAAAAAAAATAGAAGTAGGTTTAAATAAGGCTTATTTCAACTTACAAGGTCCTGAATGGTCAAAGTGCTCAAATGAGAAACATACCAACTTGAAATCTTCCAGTTCTTTTGGGTCAATACCATCTGGATTATATATACTCCCATCAGACTCTCCAACAGCAATACATTTAGCACCAAAACGATGTAAATATCTCATAGAGTGCAGGCCCACATTACCAAAGCCCTGTGAAGAACAATTACACATGACACAAAAATTAAAAGTCCTGGGACAGGCAGTATGAGTTGTATCTTGACCAAGGTAAATCCACATTCTGTTAGCTTAGAAGCAAGTCTCAAAATTCTTTTGCCAAAAGAACCAATGTAGTCGACAGCTTCTTTTCAACAATACAGCTCCAGCCTGAAGAACGAGGAACCCACCTCATTTGTTAGGTGCAGCCTTATGAAGAAAGGGCAGCACTGCCACCTGCACTGGCGTGGTCAGTCCCTGGGACCTGAGGCCCTCTGGTTGTATAAAGTATTGAAAGAGAGCAAACTCATTTTGAAGTAATGTTCAGCTAATTTACGTTCTTCTAGGGAATTACATGTTAGTATATCAAACAAGCTTGGGTCAATGTGCAAAACTTCCTGCATACTCATGATAACTTTAGAAAATTATACTACATGGCCTCTCCCCTTTGCTGAGGTACAAACTGCAACTTAAAGTAGTTTATGAGTCTCATGTGTAACAGAGATGTAAAATCACTTCTATCCAGGAGCCACACTACGTTTCAAAAAAATAACCACCACTCTTAAGACCTAAGAGATTCCAAGAGTCTCATTCATTTTAAGATGCAAGGCTAAAAACACTAAATAACTTAGTGTATGTTGGTTGTTATTAAGAAAACACTTTTATTTATTTTTTTACCTGAACAGCAAATGTTTTATCTCCAAAGCCTGGTGTCATTCCTAAAATGCTCATGTAGGAAGCTTCATTGATGAAGTTCTCAATCCCATGGAAAACCCCACGGCCGGTCGCAGAGATTCGCCCATGGATGCCCCCTTGGCTGATGGGCTTTCCGGTAACACAGGCGTGTGCATTAATGTCCTGTCAGGGGAGTCAGGGTCAGAGAAGGAAACTCATCAGCCCAAGGTCTAGTCATGAACCAAAATCATGAATTAAAGTCAAAGCACATTCTCACTTAACAAAAATTAGCCTGATCAGGACTGTGCACGAGGTTATGAGAGAAACAGAGAACTTAAGGTATCCTTTCATCAACAGGAAGGAATAAGCCTCATGCTTTCAACTTTCTTGTTCCTAGACAATCACACAGGGTATATTTTCTGCTGGGAAAGCTGAAATTAGGGTCAAGCACAAATACCAGTATCATAAGAGTAGAGGCAGTTTAGCTTATTTCAAAAGAATTGAAGCCCTTGTAAGTATTTTAAAATCTACTATTAGATTTGAGCACTCTACTTAGGCTCTGAAACAAATAATGTTATGATTTTTTTGTGGACGAGACTCAATACTGTATTTTTCTGCCAGAATAATTTTGAAATTCAGTAAAATTCCACTTTTTAAAAGAAGTTGTAAAAGATGATACTCAAACCCATCTAAGAGAGAGACAAACCTGTTTTAAAAAATGCCTTCGTGAGAGAGACCCAGATGCCTATACCTCTGTGAATAGAGCAGCCCTGGTTTGGTCAATGAAGAGGCCAGTGGCCTTCACCACCCACGTCTGCCCTCCCTACGTGGAGGGTGTGCACAGGTTTCTGTGCAGAAATAAGTACAGCAAGGGAAAAGGATCTTGCATCACAGGTACAGTAGATGTTCTGGTCAGCAGGTTGAACAGGAGAAACGAGAGGCAGTCTGATTGGACACAGGAAGTCAGGGAAATGAAGGCAGCACTTTCAACCAGGGCCAAAGGCACAGACTTGTAGAGGCCATTTGCTACCCAAGAACAAGATGCCATGCCTGACTGCACACTAATTTCTGCCCCATGACAGGTATAGCGGAAGAATTTAAAGGTGAACCAATTTTTATTGCATTGTTTAAATATTTTCAGAGAGAATTCAAACTTACTTGTATAATTATCAACACAAAAAGGAATAACACCAAGTTTTTTTTAAAAAAAGCAGCCAAGTAAAAGTGTTACAGAACGATTAGTAGTTTTGCCACAGTTTTCTTTCATGAATTGCAAACCTGGTGCCAAGTGCTTCTACAGAATGAAAATGCAAATGCTGGAGCTGAAGGAAACACTGTCTTAGGCCAGGCCTGGTGCCAGCTGCCAGGCTCACCAGCATACCTAATGCCTGGGACCCCAGGAGTAGTGAGGACAAATGCCCCCCCACCACAAGGGGCTGCCCAGAGAACCTTAGACACATGTTGAAATGCACAACAAAAACTAAAGCCTCTTCACCTAAGCCTGAACCCTGGGTCTTCAGCACTCAGGAAGGAAACTTCCACCAGATCAGTCCAAGGCTTACCTGGCAGCGCACTTTACACGACCACCTACAGATGACAACATACTGTCTACTGGTGTGCCCTGGTCACTGTGCTGCTTGCTCAAAAAGAACAAGAGACTAGTGCTCAATGAACATGTGCCTGCCTACCTAGCATGCTTGATGCCCTGGGTTCAATCTCCAGCAGCACACACTCAGACACAAAAGACAGCCTATGGAAGTGGCCCTTTTTGGAATGACTGTCAAATCAAAATGCTTCCAAAAGCATTCCAAGTGTCTAATACAGTTTGTCTATTTCAATGAATTTGTGCAATATGCACAAAGTATGTTATAAATGCTGATGTTTCTGTATTAAGGACTACAGACTAAGTGCATTTGACTAGTCTTCATGGGATTTTCCTAAGGGTCTTATGAAGCCAACAATCCTATGAATTAGGCACCATTACAGCCACTTCATACATGAGGAAAATGAGGCTGACACTTCCGGGCCATGGAGCTGCTCAGTGTTCTGCCCAAGCTCCCAGCAACTAAGTGACATGGCCCAGAAGACATATGACCTCTACATTCCTCCTTTCCAAGCCCCACTTCTCATTGGGGCCTGATTCTCCACTGCCTCACTACTCTTACCACCATGCAACCCCCTGGCCTGGTCTTTCTCACACTACTTTCCTTTGGGCAGCAGCCACCTATGGGGCTGTCTCCAGTGCCATTTTTCTAAGGTGGTAGACACATTTCATCCCTTCTTTCCTTTCACCTGAACCCTTGCCCCAGAGCTCCTCTCCTAATCTTCTGCTCTAACCACCCCATTTCCTTCTGTGCACAGAACAGGGCTCTAACGCAAACTTAACTGTGTCACAGACCTGTTCCCAGTGAGCTCTTTGTGGTTTTCATTTCAGGACAAAGGTCAAAGTTTCCCCAGCCCTGGCCAGACAACAGCCTGGTGACCTCCTCTGCTGGACTTCCTCACCCCTTTCTCCCATTCGACTGGCTACTTCCAGCCTCCCTTTACCCTGGTGTTTCTTTCAGTTCCAAACACTCCCTGGCCACCACTCACCTTCCCTAGCTGCTGTGTGCTCTGTGCTCCTCCTTTGAACTGCAGAGTAGAAGCTTCTATCCCCAAGAAGGCCTTGCCTAACTTTTTCCTCTAAAGGCCCGGTCAGGCCCCATTACCCTTTTTCATAGTTTTTGCAAGAACTTCAGCACCAAAACCAGCTGTAGCCACACATAACTTGTACTTGGTCTTGCATGCAGAGAATGTGGACAGCTCTTCCATATCCATTTCTCTTTCTACTCCATGAACGCCTGTTGCTCAAGATTCCCTGCTCTCAAGGACAGGGAGACGTGTTTCTTCTCTCTCGTGTTCTGCTGAGTACCCTGCCTGGGGTCCTCCTGGCTTTGACTCAGCCTTCCTCTTGTCCTGTTCTTGGTCCCACACACCAGATCTGGTCTTCCAGAGTCTATCATGCCACTCGTGTGGCTGGGCTCTGCCACCACACAGGGTAAAACCAACACCAGGGCTGGGCATTTCTGGTTGTGGTTTGCCTTCCTCTCCACTTGTAGCTACACAAATGTGCTAAACTTGCAACCCCAGCCCTACTTTACTCCTCTTATCCCCCCAATCTCCAGGTGTCCATTCTGACCCATTTTCAACTCCAGCCTGTATCACACTACTCCCATACTCTATCGCTTCACCATCTTAGCTCCTGTGTAAACAGCAGCTCTTTGAGGGAAACACAAGAGCAGAATGCTTCTATATTTACATTCTGGCATCTCAGCAGTGGCTGGGGAAGGTTCCCCCCACCCAATGCACAGTCTATGACACCACGTAAGTAAAAGCTCAATCTTTGTTCACTACATTCACAGTTTAAGAATACAGAGAGGTAAGAAAAATAAGCGTGAATCATGTTTGATTAAAAGGGAGGAGAAAAATCAAGTCATTCTCAGCTTCTCAGACACAAGGTAAGGAAGCCTGTGGCTCCGAGGATACTCACATAGTGCCCTATGGTGCTGGCATAGGTGTCCGCGATCCAGGACATCTCCCGCTCGCCTGTGCTCATGTCTGGGGCAGGCACGTCAATGCCAGGACCTGAGAGCACAGGGAAAGGGCAGTGTACCAGTTTTTAAAATTAACTCACCATATATACAAGATCCCTGTAATTCTTTAAGAGAACAAAGTCATCATGGCTAGAAACCTTAGATCTCATTTAGGTAACTGATGCAAGTCACAGCAATACTCATGAGGTGAGTATCTCACCATACACTGAGATACAGTGTTATGCAGCAACCACTCCCCCTGATGCTCCCGATGTAACAAGTAGCTATGTGCAATAGGCATGAGCCCCAATGGCACATGGGTCTGGCTGCCTGGCCTCAGTTCTCTCAACAGCAATGAGAGCAAATGATCATCCTGCTAGTAGAAACAGGAATGTGGTTAGGAGCGCATGTGTAGGGCAGCTCAGTGACACACTGCTTATCACCGAGAAGAAGAGGGGACAATGACATAGTGAAGCCACTGAATGGAAGGCTGGAATCCTTTCTACAGGAGAATGCTTTGACCTGATACTTAGTGCTTAGTGTACACAAGGTTTTGGGCCTTGACTTTTAATTCCTTACATCACAGCAAATTAAATGCTTGAGAATAAGACAATGGCTCATAAGCAGCAGAAGATGCCATTGAGGGCCATGGTGTGGACACTTGAGAATCCATGCTCAGGGACGCCCACCAGTCTGTGAAGGCAGGAATCCAGAGACAGCCCTCCCAGACAGCAAAGATAACAACAACATGGCTGTAAAGTAGGCCAGAGGATAAAAACACACATTCCTACACAAAAAAAGCACTAAACAACCATTAAGAAGGATGACTGATATCCATGTGAATGACTTGGGATTATCAACAAATCCCAATGTCCAGGCCTATATATTCCTAGTTACCCAAACTCTTCCTAATCCTGTTTTGCTTCCCTCTTTCCTTATGTATATATGTATGTACACAGAGAGTTGGAAAGATGTGTACAAATTTGTCTACTGTATTCCCTTTGGATTTCAGCTTACTTGTATCTTTCTTTCTTTCTTTTTTTTTTTTAAACGTTTTGTGGTACTGTGCTACATTCCCACCCCTTTTTATTTTGAGACAGGGTCTTGTTAAATTGCCCAGGTTGGCTTATGATCCTTCTGCCTCAGCCTCCCATATAGTTTGAATTAGTTGTAATGTTCTCTATTTCAATTTTATCATACTGTAAAACTCATCTTTATAAAAAAAATACAACTTTTGAAATGATTAAACTATTGGGCCTGGTGGAAACAATAACAAAAAGTTAAATTAAGTGTCCTTCAGAAAATAAAGCTTTTTTTTTTTCTTTTCAGATAGGGTCTTGGTATGTACTTCAGGCTGGTCTGGAACTCACTGTGTAGCCCAGTTTGGCCTTGAGCAATCCTCTTCCCTCAGCCTTCTGGAATACTGGGATTATAGGCATGTGCCACCATGCCTGCAATAAAGCTCTAAGAGTTGCATCCAAGTTTTTTCTATAATCTTTACTTTCTAACCATCACAATAAGTACATTTTCCTGCTGTCTACAATCCACTGGCCAAGGTTCCGGCTGACATAATTCTCTGAACCAGCTGTGATATAACACATGCAGGACAGGCCCAAGACAACTTTGATATGGTCAAGGTGTGCTTTTGATGTCAGTCACTACTATGTTTTGGTGCGTATTCCTTAGACAAGTGGCCACCCCAAGCCTCTCCTCAAGCCACCCAACAGGCCTGCTTGAAGATGGAAGCCATGCCAACCACTGGCAGAAGGGCTCTGGGGTTTGTTCTGCTTGGCTCCCTTTCCACACCTTAGTGACAGGTCAGTATAAACTTGTTTAACCACGCTCCTTTTCTAGGGTACATATGACAAACTGCTAACCTCAAGTATCCTTGTTTTCACCAAGGCTCAGGGATAAGTAATAAACAGGTTTATTGCTTCAATTAACAACTCCAATTGGCAAGTGGCAGTTCTAAGGCACACAGTTTGTGAATGAACTGTTTCTTACCAACATTTATCTAGACTGCTAAAGGCAGGACAGCTTCCCCTACCCAAAGCAAAGGTACAGAGTATTACTAGGTTTTGCTGTGTGCAAAAGTCAATGTTCATGGGTGCATAGATTACATGTCATTCTTGAATTACTGACAAATTCTCATATTAGAGAATGAGGTATGAGGCACAAACCTATCCTTTATGAAAAAGCAATGGCTCTGAGCATGAACATAAGGTGAGAGCAGAGCAGATAATCTTGGTATGTAGTGATATAGGCTCTGAGAAGGACGGAGACATCAGGGATCTGCAGGGACTTTACAGTTTACACAGGTCTATGCTACCTCTACTCCATAAGAGGTTCAACGTCAACCTTTTAGAAGTCTACCATGAACCAGAAGAGGAAACAGCATTTTCAACTCTTAAGAGGCTGGTATCACCCTGACACCAGTACTGGACAAAGACATCACAAGAAAGATACAGATCAACACTCCTTACAAGGAGAAACAAAATAAAACAAACAAACAAAAACACCCACACACTAGAGTAGTAAAATATTTATACTGAGAACTACAAAGTGTCAGTGAGAGAAATCAGAGACTCAAGTAAACAGACACATCATAAACCATGTTCATGGACTGGATGATAAGATGGCTAAGTCAGCAATATGCCATTAATTTATCTACGGATTTAACACATTCCTATCACCATCCCAGCTGCCCTTTTTTGGCAGTTTGACAAGGTGATCCTAAGCTCACAAAATGTAACCGTCAAGATTCAGACTCAAGCCTCAGTGGTGATCTGAAACTCTGCAGAAAGGCAAGTTGGGAAATCTGGGCTAGAATTACAGGTGTGTGCCACCACACCCAGCTTCTAAAGATTCTTTTTGTTTTTAACTTTTGGAACTGAGACACTTGTCAAGATCCATAAAATTAAGTGGGAAACACTCTAGTTATGGTCAATTAATGACCAAATATCCAAAACCACGCAAGATTATTAAAATGTACTTGAGATTTAGGCTAAGAGGATCTGATACAAAAGCTGAAGGTTATCATCAGGCTAAATGAGATTTTAACTCACTATATCTTAGAATTAGGACTCACATCTGTAGGTGTAAACGTGGTTAACTCCTGTTAAGTTCCTTAGCATGCTTTTCATGTGTTACAATATACAAGTTTATACCTGTTCTGGTACGAGGTATGCCAAGAGCCCAAATGCCTTTTAAATTAGGACACCAGGGACAAGTCTTACAAAATCCTAGTGTTATTTATATTCATTTTATTTCAAGTCTTTTTTCCTAATAATGGGACAAATTTCAGAATATAGCTAACAGTGAGACCCTGTCTCCAAAACACAAAACTAACCACCCTCCCAAACAACAAAAAGAACCAAGGGCAGGAAAGCAGAGAAAAAGTGAATTTTCTTTTTCTTTTAGTCTTATTTTAACTATGACAACAGGAAAAACATTTTATCAAGTACTTTTATTTCATTCAAATAAAAAAGACCAAATCTTAAATCATTTGAAAATTAAAGAATAAATGACAAATATTTACACATCATTAAAAAGTACATTCATGTCTTACACAAAACAATGAACATAGATAAGAGTTTTTAAAAATCAAGCAAACAAAAGATTAGTTTCTTAAAAAGTTCAATGTGCTTAGCAAAAGCCCCTGAAGCCAACAGGCAGCCTCAGGCTCAGGTGGAGCAAGTGACCACCATGTACTGTTCCTACTGCTCTAAATGGACAGTGCAGCATGTTCAACACCTCCAGCTCCCAAAAGGATGATTCCTCACTGCTTTAGAGATAGGACAGCAGCTTTCAACACTACTTTGTACTTATTAAAAAATGACTTACATTCAGGTATTACTCAGAAACACAAAATATGGCCATGTGTTTTTGAAAGTCTCAGCAGGGAATGAATAATGTGACTACATTAATCCAACCCTGGGGCTTGCGATTTAGCTCAGTGGTTCTGCCGCCTGCTTCACAAACACAAGGTCCTGAGTTTGATCCCTGGCACAAAAAAAACAAAAAACAAAAAACAAAACCCCCTGGCGGTTTAGAGCTTCCTCTGAGGAGGTGTGTAGTTAAATTAGGGCCAGGGATTTATTTAGCTCAGTGGCTTCCAAAAAAAAAAAAAAAAAAGTTTAAAATCCAATGCTTATGCTGTCCACACCACTCCCTGGTGTTCCTACTACATGAGGAAAACCTCAACTTTTCCAGTGGAGATGGGTTACACACCCCCAGGGGTGTCCATGAGACCTTAGCAGAGAACCTGGTTTCTCACAGGAAGGACAGCTTTGTTCAGATATTTGTAAAGGCAGGAGTTTAAGACAATTACTCTTCAGACACTTCCACTGTATACAGAAACCATGTATGGCAATACATACCAATAAAACCCTTCTTTGCTAGCTCCATGGTGAACCTTCTTGTGATCTTTTCTAATTCATTGTCCTGTGCAGAAAAAAACAAGGGAACGAAAATTAGGGTACAGGCCAGCTGTAGAGCACAGGCTAAGTATATAAAAGGTGCTGGGTTCAATTAAAAAAAAAAAAAAAAAACCAAGGGAAAAAAAATAACCCAAACCCAAATCAAACCAAACAAAAAATCAACAAAACAAACCCCAAAAAGCAAAACCTGATATGATTAGGTTACTATGGACCCTATGAGCCTTGTCTATAGTATCACTTAAGTTGCACATTTTAAAGATAATGAAATTGTATATATATTTACTATGGTATTATACAGATTGTAATTTAGTTGTATGTAGAACACTGTTAAGTAATTTTCATTAACTTGATACGAGAGGACAAATAATACAGTATTTACTAGATTATTTGTCACCAGAATAAGAGCTCTGTATTAAATCTTCAGATTATATTAATTTTTGAACATGGATTTAAGTGCCTAGAAATGAGAATTAACTAGGCACTGTAGCACATGCCATTAATCGTAGTATTTGCGAGGCTGAGTCATGAGGATTTCTGTGAGTTCGAGGCCAACCTAGACTACAGTGAGACTGTTAAAAAACAAACAAACAAAAAAATCCAAAACCAACCAAACAAGAAGGTTTAACTACCTTTGTGTGTGTGTGTGTGTGTGTGTGTGTGTGTGTGTGTGTGTGTGTGTGTATGTATATGTTTGTGGTACCAGGGATTAATTACCTTTAAACCAAAAGAAAATGTAAAGAGACTGATGATGTTAAACCTTTTACATGGCAATATATTCAATAAGTTAATAATGAATTTGTTTTCCCATCTCTTTTGAAAAGTCAAGAAGACCATCAATCTTACTGACACGGGGGATACACAGGGCCCGGAAATTAATTCCAAATCTTTTGGTAAATGCTGGTGTATACACATACTGTTTTGATACTTACTGAATAGTTCTTGGGGTTGATTTTAACACCTGCTTTAGCTCCACCAAATGGCACATCTGAAAGAAAAGGCTCAAAGTTGTTATTCCATATAAAGGTTAAAAATTAAAAGATGGCACTATATAATATAGGTTGAGTATTCTTTATTGAAATGTTTGTAAGAGTTTTGGATTTCAGGTTATTTTTGAATTCTGGAATATATGCATACGTATAATGAGATACCTTGGGGAAAGGGATCCAAATCTAAACATGCAAAAAATAAAAATAAACCTAACATTCATTTATGTTCCATATACCTATATCCCGAATGTCATTTTGTGCAATGCTTTTTGCGTGTCATTATTTTGACTTTAGCCTGGAGAATAAAGCCAAGTGGGGAGTCTCTCTTTTTTTTTGTTTTTGAGACAGGCAGTCTCCTGCATGCTAGGATTACAGATGTGTGTCACCACGCCCACTTTAAGTATGGAGTTTGCTACTTGTGGTGTCCTGTCGTTCAGAAAGTTTTAGATTTTGGAAAATTTTGGATCTTTGGACTAGGGATGTTTAACCTATATTACAAAAAATGTTAAGGTTTAACTTCTGAAAATTCAAGCAATGTACTTTAATATTATAAGACTAGCCAAGTTGCAATGCATATTTAATCAGTGCTTTCTACTACTTGTAAAAGAACGTGGATGGTATTTACTTTCCTTCTGCTCTTATTTACAGAGTATGGACAGGAATTTAAAGACAAGAACTACAATGAAAGAAAATCCAGCGAGTGCCTATAAAAACCCACTTAAAAAAAGACTCAGTCTCATCTTAAAAATGTACTTTGTGCAAACATATTTCCCGGCAGTTGTTAAGCAGTGACAGACGAGCACTTACCAACCACTGCACACTTGTACGTCATCAGTGAAGCCAGCGCCTTCACTTCGTCCACACTCACATCGGTGCTGTACCGGATGCCTGGGCAAAGGTTATTTTTCAAAAGGGGAGAGGACAGAAAGAAAGGGATGTATTTAGAACACATTTACAATAAGCTTTTTTAAAAAAAGGCTATAAAATGAAAATGTCCACACTTTTTGCATTTTGCATCCAGGCTATTTCCAAGCACAGCTGAAGTAGCTTATGTGTTAAAATAGCACAAGTAAAAAGGGAAAGCTGCCAATCAAACACCCAGAGAGCTACAGGAAACACACCAAATTTGCCTTAGACTATTCTGAGAGTGAAGAGTATGATGCTCAAATCTAGTTTGAGACAGGGTTCTTGAGGGCTTGAAGACAACTAAGACAGTCCTTGTCCTCAAGTGGGAAATTACAGTAACTGGTTTCACAAGACAAAAATGATCTCCAAATCAATGTTTTCATACTTTCTGGAAGACAACTAGCTCATGGAAGACATTTTAATTTTTTTTTTAAAACAGGGTCTTGCTATGTAGTCCAGGCTGGCCCTGAACTTGCAACAATCCTCCTGCCTCAGTCTCCCAAGGGCTATGATTAAGGAGTGTGCCACCATGCCTGGCTAGGAATTTTGCTTTCTGGCAACACAAACATGGGCAAATGGGACTGTCACCAGGCTCAATAGCATCACAACTGCAATACTAGGTGTCTGACAGAGGAGGCTCTGGCTTCAAATGGCTGTATCCAGACAGATCTTTCTGCTGGTGACTTCCCTCACCCAGCTATGGCCTCTTCAACTGGGCACGGCACAGCCTTCTCCCCCTCCTGGGCACTACCCTTTCCGCAAGGAGGGAGATGGCCATCAAGTGTCTGGGAGAAAGAAGGGACACAGAATGGCAGGTGCTTACTGCTTGGGGTTTTTCAGGGCTAAGCCACCCCCTTTCTGTTCCATGGCTCTCACTCCAGCAGGAAGCCTGTGGGTGAGAACAGAGACACCTGGCAAAGCTGCAATCCCTTCCCACCCTCCTGCTCCTTGCAGTTCCCTGCCAGGTGCTGGGCACCACACTGAGTCATGTCTAGGCGATCGGAGTCCCAGGGACAGCACTTTCAATGTTTTCGGATAGAAAATATACACTAGCTCATTGGCAGTTTGAGGAGACCTCTTAATACTAGGAATCATCAGCCTAAATACTGACTGAAGAGACTGTTGTTTTGAGATAATTTTATGTTCAGTATGTATGAGTATAAAGAGCAAATTCTAAAGCTGAGTGTCTATTTGGTTTACTGGGAGAATAAGAACTACACAGCCTGGTATGGTGGTGCATACTGACAATTCCAGGTTCTTGGCCTGGGCAACACAGTAAGACCTTGTCTTAAAGGGGGGAAAAAAAAGGAAAAAAAATGATTACACTTAGAAGAGTGTGCTTTTAGAATTATATGTTGCACATAATATACTTTTCAATTTCTGGTAAAATAAATGTACTCAATCTTAAAAGTTTTAGAATGAAAAAAGTTTTAGAATACGGGACAAAGAGAAATCTTTAAAGACATAGATGTCTGTGCAGCTTGTTGCGTCGCGTCGTATGGTTCAGTCTCTGTCATTCTGAGGCCTTCCCTGACTACTCCACCTCAAACGGCACTCACCCGGTAATTCTCGAGCTCACTCACTTTCTTTCTTCCCAGGATTTATCCTGAAGGATCTTATCTGTTTAGTGTCTGGCTTTCTCATCTAGGAGGTCAGTGCCAGAAGGACAGACTATTTTGTTTGCTACTTTAATTCGTGGTGCCTGACAACATATGATCAGGCACTCAAATAATTTTGAATAAATATACCAATCTTTGACTCTTTAAAATTTAAGGTAATGGGCCAGGCATAGTGGTGCATGCCTATAACGTCAGCACTCAGAAGGCAGAGGCAGGAAGATCACTGTGGGTTCGAAGCCCCCCTGGGATACACAGAATGTCTCAATCAATCAATGTAGAAGGCTGGGATGTAGCTCAGCTCTTGACTGCTTGCCTACACAGCAAAGCCTTGAGGCCAATCCCTGGTACTGCCAGAAAAAAATGAACAAAAAATTAAGGTAGAAAGAAAAGCCAGGGCCATAAGCGTTAAAAAATCTGCCATAAGCATCCTTAGATTACCAGGAAAGAACTACCAAATAAAATACTAAAAAGTTAAAACACCAGGTCCTAGGGCTGGGGATTTGGCTCAGTGGTTCTGCTGTCTGCCTCACAAGTGCAAGGACCCGAATTCGATACCTGAGAGCAAAACAAAAACCAAAAACCAAAAAACACCAGGTCCCAAAAATTACTTCAGGGAAAAAAAATCAAAATAAAATTAAGATGAGCCAGGTGTGGTGGAGCACACCTGTAGTAGTCCCAGCACTCAGGAGGCAGAGGCAGGGGATCACTGCAGGTTCAAGGCCAGCCTGAACTACATAGTGAGACCCTGTCTCAAAAAAGAAAAGAAACACCAGGACCTAAAGTTTTAAAAAAAAAAAAAAAAAAAAAAAAAAAAGATATTAAGATGAAACATCTGCATCTTTAATACAAAGTTTAAGCACTAAAACATGTTTTTTCAATTAACAATGGCATATTATTGGGTAGAAACTGCTGAGCCAGGAGTCCATGTCTAACACCTCATTCAGGTGAGTCCAGCCCACAGAACCTGCTCCCGTTGGTTGGGCCAGGCTGAGGGCATCCTACCTGAGACATCTGGCACAGGCTTGAGCTGGGTCAGGTGAAACATTTCAACTTTCACCACACTATGACAAGCAATTATGAGGCAGTGGCACATAGCTGAGCAACTCATTCTTTAACATGTTCCCACTACCTTGTATCACTGGTGGTACTCTCGCATGCCCTGACAGGATTGCCCCATCCTGCCCAATGGGGCAGTCATGCACATACTACTGGTCGTTCTGGTGGGAACATATCAGAACTGCCCAGCAGCAAAACAACTTCGTAGAGGTTTCAATGAAAACACAAACAGTCCATGTGCCATAGGTTCGACACCACTGAAATGATAGGAAACTCAACAGCTTACTGAATCTTGGTTTTATTATTTCAAGGTAAATTCATTAAGGGTGAAATGCTCCACCCCCTTCCAAGATAATTTTTTCCTCACTGCTCTTCCCAGCCTAAGAAAGGAGGCACACTAAGTTATCTTAACTCTTCTTGCTTTCTCTAATAGGGAAGTTATTTTTCCTCAATTTAAAAACTTAAAGGTTTAAATGATCAAATGAGAAAGGGAATAAGGGAGGGGGTGGGTTGGACGGAAAGAAGGGACAAGATCAAAAGAATAGAAAAATGGAAACAGAGAAGGTGAAGGGAGGGGAATGCGAAAAAAAAAGGGAGGACATATTCATGTACAGGTACAAATTCCCTATGATGAATGTCATCATTATGCATATCTAAAATGTACCAATAAAAAAAACTTACAGGTTTTAATTTTTAAAGATACCTATAATGTAGCACATTTAATGGGGAACTAAAAATTGATTTAACTAGTAAGATTCATAAATTAAATAGCAAAAATATCCAAATAGCAAGACTAATATTTTAGACCTAGGTGCTAATTAGCAACCAGATGTTATAGAAGTTGAAACAAAGTAACCATTTTCTTACAAAAGTCTTGTAGTAATATGAGTCAGAAATGGTTTCCACTGGATGCAACCGAAGCATTCTTGCTTGTAAAATGAAACACCAGTAGAGTGCTCAGAGTCCTCCCTAGCACCCACAGGCATTTGTTGCCCTGCCACAGACAAAGAACTTCTGGAAAGGTGAGGGAGGAGCCTGAGGGGAGGGTGGGTGCTCCAAGAAGTCCCAGAGCAGAGAAGGGCAGGGCATCTGCCAGCTGGGCTAACCGTGTTTTGTTCTTTTAACTTTCTAATTAATCAATGGTACATAAAAGTTTTTACTTCCATAAATTGGCTGGCATAGCACTATAGGCTGAAACTGTTAATATGAAAAACAAAACAAAAAAAATCTGAAAGTGTATCTGTATATCCACATTCTAGCCAAGTAGTTGTTACTTTTCCCCCTTTGGTATCAGAAACCAAGATAAAGGCACAAATACAATGTCACTTAAAGTTTGTAATCATATTCTTATGGACAGAGAAATTTAAGTAAGACTATAACTGGGAGAGCTGGGGAGTTAGCTCAGTGGTGTTACCACCTCGAAAGTGCAAGGTCCTGAGTTCGATCCCCATACCAACCAACCAACAAACAAATAAACCAGGAAAAGGAAGATACTTTGATTAAATTCATAAACTCTGAAGACTGATAGAACAGCACAATTGGAGGATGTGAAGGATAAAAGAAGGCGACATACTTCAAAGTTCAGGGACAGAAAGATCCTTCCAAATGGCCACTCTAAAATATTCTTAATTTGAAGACAGAGCTGCTTAGGAAAGCAAAAAATAAGTAATATACACATAAGAAAACATTAAAGCTTTATAAACTAAGAGAATCTTTTTCTGCAGTCTGAACATTCTCACTTTTCCTACTTTTCTATAGGACAAGGTATATAACAGAGAAGGCCAATGGTGAGTAGGACCACAGGGATTTCATAGGTGTGCAGGACAAAGGAGAAGGAACAAACATTCAAGAAATGGAGGAAGGTGGTCAGGTGTGGTAATGCATGGCTATAATTCCAGCACTGGGAAGACTGAGGCAGGAGAATCAATTTGAGGCAGTCTAGGATACATAGTGAGTCCAAAGCCAGACTGTGCTACACAACAAAGACCTTGTATCAAAGAGGAGGAGGAAGGTAAACTAGAATTTTTTTCCACCCTAAAGTCTCAGCACCATCTGTCAGCCTCCACTGATAATGAATGGCATTACTAGTGTTTGAGAGGAGACCATATGGTCTTCTAGATAACAGCACTCCAGGTACAACTACAGATGTAAGTCAGTTGATTTTAACACAGGCTGGCTAAGCTAAGTGAATAGGTTGGTTATCAAGGTTTCAATTGCAGGCTGAATGTCATTAGAATTGGGATTGAAAACAAAGTTCACTTTCCGATCTGCTGACAAAATCATCTGCTTTACTCCAAAGGAAAGGCA